AAACCCTAAACCCTAAACCGGCATGGTCTTTAATCTTAGTAGCTACCTGTGACCCTGTGTTTTTTCCCAGAGGGCCTTGCTTCCGACGAAGAGGAGCCGCCTTACGACCAGGAACAGCGAGGATGCCAGTCCGATGGTGATCCTAGAGCCGAGTATATCTTTGGGATTTGGTTTAGGGTTTGGGGTTTAGGGTTTAGGGTTTAGGGTTTAGGGTTTGGGGCTTTCGGCTTTAGGATTTAAGTCTTCGGGTATCTTCGAGGCTTCAACAATTGGGCCAGGACTCTTTGGATAATAATCGACTATACTCTTATTACAAAAGGACCGCTAAGTATTCGTTTGCTAGTTGCGCAGGCTTCTATGTCGTACACGCGAGTATGTTGCTGGGGTTCAAAGAAATGTAGTGCCCACTAAAAGAGAAACCCGACAAGTTAGACCGAGGAACAGCCCTTTGCAGCACTGCGCGGTGTGCCACCAGTCAAGGGCAGACAGCTTCTTGTTCGTCATGTGCACCTGTGATTGGCCAGCTCACCAGAAAGTAAGATCCTCTTGGGGTGTTCTGCTTCACTTTATACAAACGGAATGTATAATTTATTATCTAGTACGAAAACAACCTCCGTCTTGTGGAAGCTCAAAAATCCGGACAGTGGCCCGACTCATCAGTTAGATTTTAACGAGGCGGCTCATGAATACCTACTTTAAGGACTTAAGCAAATTATTGAAGCTACTCTCCACTCGAGCCATAAACGCAAGGGCACGAATTTGACACCGAAAGCCCGATTCCCTGTAAGGAGTATTCACTTTATTCAGCCGTGTGCTGTATTCTTTAACTAAACCGTCTTTGGCTCTTTTGCGATGCTTTGCACCAAACCCATGCAAACGCCTGAACCCCTTAACCCTAAACCGTAAACCCTTAACCCTAAACCCTAAACCCTAAACCCTAGGAAAGGACTTTCAGTTCAGGTCTTCCACGACACCTCCACTCGGGTTGTTTAGAGACCTCCATACCATACGAGACGAAAAGCAAAACAGAACGCACACACACGCCAGACCTGAGCCGCAGACACGACTTGCTGCCTGAATCCCCAAACCTCGAACCTTGAAGAAACGGCACCTGCATGACGTTGCAAAGCAACTGCCAGAGGAAGACGGTCAAGCTCGTCCCACGATTGCCAAGCCCACCAGAATCTGCACAAAGCATCCGGGGTTTGGGTTGAGGATTTAAGCGTTTTAGACTATACCTTAAACCTGAAACCCCCAAGCACCCTAAACCCAAAACCCTAAACGCCATTGTGCTCGGCTTGCCACTAGCACTTGGCTTTTAGCGCACTAAGCTTCCAGTGTAGTGTCTATAATCAACCGTGGGGGGGGACAGAAAGCGGAGGGCCCCAAATTCTTAGGGTTTAGGGCTTCAGGCTTTGGGTTTAGGCTTGAGGGTTTCGGGTTTCGGGCTTGGGGTTTTGGGTTTCGGGCTAAGGGTTTTGGGCTTTGGGTTTAGGGTTGTCATGTGCACCTTCGTTGGTGCCGGAGCAGAACTGGATAATTTGGTTATCCACACCGCTGCAAGCCCAGGTTACCACGGCGATCATGCTCTTGTCCTGGGTCTGAGAATTTTTCGCAAGGCTTGTAATGAAGTTTCTGGCTTAGTTGTGGCTAAACCCTAAACCCTAAACCCTAAACCCTACACCATCGGTGCAAATCCTAAATGCTCCCCTGTCAGGGCTTCCCCCAGTGACCATCCGAATGTGCAGACAGTTCAAGCCGAATCCTCCGCACCCTGTCCCCGGTTTGGGGTTTAGGGTTTAGGGTTTCGGGTTTCGGGTTTTGAGAATTTGCAGGTGTATGTGGTTCACCCGAAATTACCCCGACCCTCACACCTGAAACCTTATAACCCCTCCAAAGCCTATAAACCGTGTATATAAATTCTGACAAACTGCGTGAACCCGAAAAAAACCCATAAACCCTAAACCCTAAACTTCCATAAAGCCCACAAACCTAAACCCTAAACCCTAAACCCTAAACCCTAAACCCCTAAACCCCTAAACCCTAAACCCCTACACCCCTAAACCCCTAAACCCCGAAGCCCTCACCCCTTTTCCCCTCGTCCCGGCGACGCAGACAAAGGAGGCGAGGCAGCAGAGAGTGCAGAGACTCCAGACATGCCTGGGTTGCTCTTAAAGGGGTTCAGGGTTTAGGGTTTAGGGTTTAGGGTTAAACAGGGTTTAGGGCTTAGGGTTTAGGGTTTAGGGTTTAGGGTTTAGGGTTCAGGGTTCAACTTAAGCTACTGCAAGAGGGAAACCCAATTATTTGGGCTTTGGGGTTATTGAGAGTTTAGGGTATAGGGTTCAGGGATTAGGTTCTAGGGTTTTGGGCGTACTACAATAGCGAAACCCGAATACTTACTATAGATCCCCACTATGGTAACTTAAACCTACTGCTCCTTAAACCCTGAACCCTCTAAACCCTAAACCCTAAACCCTAAACCCTACACCCTAAACCCTAAACCCTAAACCCTAAACCCTAAACCCAGATGCAGCATCGATCGCGGGGAGAATCGCTCCCTCCGATGCAGAAAGAACCAGACTCCGAAGCCAGTAATCAGAGGCCTCGTTGGGTTTGATTTTGGGGTTAGGGTTTAGGGTTTAGGGTTTACTGTTTAGGGTTTAGGGGTTTAGGGGTTGTTTTGGGGTTCACTGTTTTGGGCTTTGGAGATGTTTAGGATCTTGGGAATTTTGATATGTTGGGAATGTTTGGTGTTTAGGATATTGGGGGTGATGGGTTGAGTCCTAGATCCAAAAACCGTAAACCTACTCGTAGGTGCTCAGAATGAGGGCCGGAGCATTCATGGAGCGTTAACATGTAGAGGTCTCCCTAATGCTTTTCAGTTCTTATGATAAGGTTCACAGTGGGGCTCGCAATGGGCTTTGTGGTTTGGGGCTCTTTGTCATTTCGGCACCCTAAACCCTAAACCCTAAACCGAAAACTCTGCACTCCCCGGCCTAAGGATAGCATCGTCTGCCACATCCCAGCGGCGCCACAACGAGACGGCGATAAGGTTTGCCAGGATTCGCACCAGGGTATAGGCAGCAAGGCCCCAGGAGATCCTTCTGAAGTTCTGATCCGTCAGGATTGGGCTCCCCTCCTGCAGACTCTGAAGGGCCTCGAGATCATCGTAGAGGTCTGTTATGGTCTTCCTCTGCCGACGTTCAGGCACCTGCGGCTCCGAAGACAGAATCAAGAAAGCCGTAGCAACGTGTTTACATGTCGATTCGCTGTCATGACGAGCAAACTTGATGACAGCCACCACGCCGCCATCACCATCATCATCATGCAAACCCACTACCTCAGTCTCGACGAAGGCATCGTCGACATCGCACCCACCACCATCAGCTTCGCCACCACCATGCTGTTGCAGGTTGCAGGTTACGGACTACCCTGAAACCCGGGCATTCGCATTGACCTCGTATCCATGCGACGAACCTCTCGGAAAGACTCTGAGCCGGTTGCGCAACGGAAGCCATCAGTACTGAACAGCGCAAGTACAGGATTACGAGTCTGATGGACAACGCAAACAATAAGCCAATAAGCACCGAATGGCACATGCAAAAAGAGTGCTTCTTACAAATTCCCCTGCTTAATCAGAGCTCGCACACCCGAGGCCGGACCTCGCGAGACCTCTAAGCCACAGAACCCCAAACACCATCAAGCCCTTACCTGCTTCCATTAATAGGTTTAAGGTTCAGGGTGTAGGGTTCAGGGTTTAAGGTTTAGGGTAAAGGCACCCCTCGAAGAGCACCCCGAAAGAAGACCCCTGAACCCGAAACTCAGAACCCTAAGCCCCTAAACCCCCCAAAGCCCACCCAAACCCATACATCCTAAACCCTGAACCCTAAACCCTAAACCCTAAACCCCAAACCCTAAACCCTAAACCCTAGACTCGACTCTTTCTAAACCCCAAACCCTGCACCGTGGAGAGCTCCGGCAGGCTTGCCCGGCCCGGGTCAGCAGAAGTAAGGACGGAGAGCTCGAGGCCTTCCTCCCCTGTCCAAGGTTACGCTAAGGGTTCCTTGCGGTTTAGGGTTTAGGGTTTAGGGTTTAGGGTTTAGGGTTTAGGGTTTAGGGTTTAGGGTTTAGGGTTTAGGGTTTAGGGTCCTCTCCTGTCTAGGGTTATCGTAAGGGTTCCGTAAGGCTTAGGGTTTAGGGTTTAGGGTCTGGGGTTTAGGATTTAGGGTCCTCTCCTGTCCGGGTTACTTTAAGGGTTCCTTAAAGGGCTCTTCTCAGGGATCTATAGGGTCGAGGGTTTAGGGTTACTTTATTTGAAGGGTTCCTTTAAGGGATCTATAGGGTCAAGGGTTTAAGGTTACTTGAAGCGTTCCGGTTTAGGGTCCAGGGTTTAGGGCTACCGTCCAGGGTTGAGGGTTCTTTATAGGTGCTCAACAACACTCCGCTGCAGAAGTAGCCTTCCTTTTGCACTTGCGTAAGCACGTGTCCCAGAAGTTCAAAGCCACGGATTTTCCGTTGGCGGGGGCGCGGGTGGGCGGGTTGCTTGAGCGGACAGCTCGTTAAAGTTTCGCACCTACTGCTTCAGGTGCTCAACAACACTCCGCTGCAGAAGTAGCCTTCCTTTTGCACTTGCGTAAGCACGTGTCCCAGAAGTTCAAAGCCACGGATTTTCCTGCCTCCAAGTTTCCCATCCACAACTCCGCCAAGCTAGCCAACGGAAAAACGAGCATACCAGCACGACGTCGGTGTATGCAAAAGCTGAAGCTGCACGGCCACGTGCAAAACTTCAGCGAAACTGTCCAGCAAAGAGAGAATCAGTTGTCTTGACGACAAAGACAGCTTGTTCAGGAACTGCAGTGAGGAAATCTCCTGGATATAGATTTCCATTGTGCGACTGTTAAGCCATCTTCCGCGCCGGCGCACCAATTCCGAATCCTCGGAGGACTGTAAAAGCCAAGTCGCTCCTCCTGCACGGAGCGACCCTAAGTCCAGTGACTTGGAGCCCTGGCCTTCCCAGGTATCTGCCTTCAAAGTTTTGACCAAAGTGTCAAAGCGACTCCGCAATGTCGAAGCACTGTATGGCCAAAGCTTGCTGTTTGCTGTGAGATGTCCAAAAGCCAGCTTAACTACGGCTAAAAGATCGGGCTGATCAATCCTAGCCGATTGATGCCGAGCTGCTCGGAATCTGGTCTTAGGCTCCTGAATAGAGACCAAACCATAAGACATTGTGTCTCCAACGTCTGATGGCAGAAGCAAGTCTCTACGTCTGGCGGCCAAAGTCTCACCAACCCTCATCAAAGCACCCCACGTCAAAGCCAGCATGCCTGCAACACGAGGCCATCCCCACATAATAGCCGTAGTGATCAAAGCAAGCAGTATTTGCCAAGGGAGTGCAACATGATGAGAATGAGGCTCCTCACGTAGCCAGGCAAAAGCTAAATCCCAGGCCGGTTGCAGGTTTCGGCGCAGGGCAGGCTCCTTACCAGAAATAGCATTGATGACCTCCGAGTAGTGGGAGTAAGGCCATCCTGCCTCAAAAAGCTCGCGCCCGTAACGTACCAAGAGACCATTCAGTCTGCGTGTAGTCTGCGGTTGCAGATCGAGAAGCTCTGCGAAAACAATCTCCTGAGAGCACAGCCAGCTGCTAAAGGCCTCCAGGAGCTTGTCACGCCTTCTCTGAGTGATGGGCTCAACGGGGCGACCCTCACACAGAGTGATAGCAGCTCGAATCCGCGAACGCTTCTCATCAGCAGAGTTGCGAGGGCGCAAGCCATGGCTGGGAACAGCTACTGCCTCATGAACCCCAACCCAGAAAAGAAGGACCCTGAAGAAAGGCCCCTCACCCGGAAAGCCCAAAGTGGGATCGAAGAGCCGCGAGGAACGATGCAGAAAGCGCCAGCCCAACTCAGGTCGGAAGGAGGGTGGAACACGGAGGACAAGGCATACAAGCCTGGACCAGTTTGAAGCCCAGCGCCTGAGCTTTGGCTGAGAAAGACCCTCGTACAGCTGGTCAAGGGAAAGGGAAGCCCAGAAAGAAGAGTCCAAAGGCTTCGGCAAAGGCAGATTGCGAGTGGGACAGTCCCCTGGGTTGATCCGGGTGGGGACATAATGATACACAGGAAAGAGCCCAGCGGCCAAGCACAAAGCCCCAACCTTGCGGAGTATGGGAGTGAGGCCTCTGGAGGGGCTTCGGCCTTTGGCACAAGCATGAAGGGCGACAGAGGAGTCCACCAGGATGACAATCCTCTTTGGGCCTTCAGCAACAAGCTGCTTGAGCAAACGCAAAACCGAAGCCGTCTCGAGAATGTTGATATGGGCTGTGGCCCGCCAATACCAAGCATCCCCGTCACGCCAAGGGGCTGAAGTCACAATGTCGTTCAACACGTAGCTCTCGAGACCTTCAACAGAAAGGCGCGAGGAACTGACAACGTGGGACACCCGACGAAGTGTCGAAGCAAACTCGTGGCCGAGAGCAGCGGCCAGAAAACTCGGGAGACAGG